ATTCTTGTGTTTCAACGCTTTTAGACATTAGTTAATGTTTGGCTCTTTTGTCTTTCTGTTATATCTTTATTGTTAGAAGGAGATGTTAGTAAAAGCTCTTTCCAGTAATTAAATTAATATCATGACAAATAGTTCTAAAATTCTATGGATGAACTTGCATCAGTAATTTAGTGATTATGATAAGTTTAAATGATTCTTGGGTGAGATCTGGAGTGATGGGTTGTTTCAAACCATAACTTTTTGCAGTTTATTTTATTGTTTTTTGATTAAGTATTTAATAATAACTTAGCCTAAGTTAATCTACTTGTAACTTTTTATAAATGTACTATAAAAATAATGTGGTGTAATTATTTTCTTAAACTTTTAGGTTAACTAAATTTCTAAAATTGGAGGTAAAACCATTAAGACAAATACAAAAAATGTGATGCAAAGGTTTGTTAAAAGTAGTTTTAAATAAAAAATCTTTTGAATCTTTTTATTATAGTTTGCTTTACTATTTCCCAAATGTTTTCTATGTGGTTAAAATCGTGCGAGTTGTCTGGCCATAGCAATACATCAACTAAGCCATAACAGTTTTTATTGTGTGGCTAGTTGTACCATCTTGCATAAATATAAGATTTTTGACATTTGTTTTAATATTTTTGAATTTTTTTGTCATTTTTTGACATTTTTGGCAGGACATCAATCCCTCTTCTTTTAGCCTTCTACAAATGGTGTGGTCTGACACAACAATTACAGCTTCATAGATAAGCTTAGTCAATAAGTTTAGTGGCTTTTTTTCTGTTTTCCAGGCAGATATTTCTGATTATACTGTCCGCTCTTGGTGTTTTCTAGCGTTTAGAAGGTGGTCTTCTTGGACCAAACTCTTCACCTGTATCAATTCTTTTTCTTACTTGCATTACGGTTTGGTAAGAAACCTTTTGTGTTTGTAAAGAAACCTTTGGTAAGAAACCTTTGTGCAATTTTTCATTAAGAATAATTTGTATTTTGTAAAAGACATGTTTATTAATTTTTAATGTTACTATAATAATAATTACAATGTATAATGCAGGTTGTTGACCAATGGTTTATAATCAAAATTTAATATGGCTGGCGGTAAAGGTAAAGAGAAGTTTAAAGGAACAAACATTAGGTATTTACTTGTAAGTTAAGTGTAAAATTAAATATTTTTAAAAATCACAGTTCGTTTTTTTGATGCTATTTTATTTTTAATTTTTTGATGTATTTGATGCAAATTACTCAGGCAATACCTTTTTTTGTAGAGAGCGTCTTGTCAATTAAAGTGACTGCTACAGTTGCCGAAATAAGAAAAGGAATAATGACTTTATTAAAATACGCACTCAACAGATCAAATGGTGGTGGTCGGCGCGTAAAAGGCGATTCACCCGATGTATAACATTCATACTTTTTCCTAATTGTTCTGGAACTATTAATAATAGTTATTATTGATAAATATATTACAGATAAATAAAACTTTTTTTTTTCAAACATTTTAATTTATTTGCATTGTATGTAAAGTCCCTTAAAGCAATTTAGTTGTATCTGATTAATATACTTGAAATATTAATATTATAATACAATATTCTCTGCGCAAATTATTGCTTTTTTATTGTGTTATTTTATTACAATTAAAGTTGAGATGATTTTTTAGTTAATTGGGTTTAACCAAAATAAAAAACTAAAATCAACGTTGAATTTACGTTGTTTCAACGTTGTTCTAACGTCGTATCAACTACGTATCAACCGAATATATCACTTATTTAAAGGTGAAATATAGTTGATATGTAGTCGATAAGACGTTAGATCAACGTTGAAACAACGTAATCATCGACGTTGTTTCAACGTCGTAGTTTTCGACGTCGGATTTTATTTCCAATTCAACCAAATTTCAACGTTGTTTCAACGTGGCATATGGTCGGTTTGCGACGTTGTTTCAACGTCATTTCAACGTCATTGTGCCTGCTGGGTATATACTTATATCTATGTTTGTGTATAGGTCGCGATTCTTTACAGTTATTGGCAATAGACAAAAACGATATAATTTTTTTGAACTTTACGTTTATATCTTTTTTTAACTTAAACATGAAACTTGAGATTTTTTGCATTACTCAGTTTAAATTTACCTTTCCAACCATTTATACAAAGTACTATTTACTACTTTATATACTATTTATATGGCTTCACTTATTTATTTTACTTTTCAGAGTTTCAGAGAAAAGTTATGTTCCAACTTGCTGAATTTAAAAACATTTTAGTAAATAAAACTGTACAGTTCTCTAATGATCCAGAAGGTTATAAACAACTTAAAAATTCAAATAAACTTAATGTTTTGAAAAGAAAAATTGCAAATGGAGATATCCAATACATCACTTTTGTATGCATGAGTTTCATCTTTAAAGTGTATATGTTATATTATTACAATATTTCTTTTGAATTTTTATGAACATTTTCAATGTTTCTTTTGCATTGTTTCTTTTTAGGTAAAACAGTTATCATTAATTGGCGGTAAAAATTCAGTTGATACAATTAAAAATATTTTGCTCTTGTAAGTAATTAGCATAAGTTTGAATTTTAACATTTATGTTTGACAGCATGACATTTATCATTATGTAGACTGACAAAAGACACTATTTTTAGAATGCAGCATGAATGGTCTAAAGAAGAAAACAAATTTTAAAAAGTTGACAAGTCTATGTATCGCTATCACAGGTATTCTTATTAGCTTATTATTGTGTTTAATTTACTTTTAAAATTAAAAACGATCTTTTAATAAAATAAAAAATATTTTCTCAATTTCTTTGGCTATGGAACATGACATGTATTTTATTTTATGATCTTATTGAACTATGTCTTGTTATTTTATTAGATGTTGCCTCAAAGTCAAATAAAAGCTTAACCAAAATGGATCTCATGTAACTTATTGGAAGATTAATTAGGCATTCTTCTGACCAATTCAAGAGAAAATCTACCAATATCGATATTGATCAATGATGGCTTAATTAACTTCAATCAACTGTTGTGTTTTTTATTTATTTTGCATTTTTCAGTAATTTTCTTTTTACTTATAATATACTATCGATTATACTTTACAAAATATATTAGTTTTTAGTTTGGAAAGTGTAACTTTGTTTGAATAATTTTTCTAAGTTTTTGTAAAATTAATAACTTATTTTAAATATATGAAACTACACTTTATGAACTTTGATTTCTCTTTATACCTTCATTTGCCATCTAAGATGTGTATTGCATATCATTGCATTTTTATATAACTTTTAAAAGAATGTCAAGGTAAATTTACGTCTCTAGGACGTCTGAATAAGACCTCCTTAAGTCTTTCACATGAGACCTGCCAGAGACGTCCATAGGACGACTGAAAAGACGTCTCTAGGACGTCTACAATAAACGTCCCTAGGACGTCTTGAAAAGACGTCCTTAGGACGTCTGGAATAGACGTCTTCAGGTCTTTCTTTTGAGACCAACTGAGGATGTCTTGCGAACGATACTTGAGACGTCTTATAAACGTCCTTAGGACGTCAAAATGCCCGCTGGGTATAAACAACCGATTTTATAAATATTTATTCCAAATTTATTGCGCATCCAGGAGTATAGTCTTCATTTGAAATAAAGTGCCTAGTCTTCATTTGAAATTTGAAATTGGAGTCTAGTCTTCATTTGAAATTTGAAAGTTATTTGCTCAGATTGTTTGTTTTAGTATTTTGCTGATTTATTATACAAGTGATTATGTCTTGGAAGACAGTTGGAAACATACTCGAATGGTGACCACGAGACAAGGAATTAATAAAATTTGATAGATGTATATCATTAACTATATCAAAGCGATGTATTAAGTTTAGGATTAAATTGCAAGGCGCCAAAACTTAAGCGATCGTAAATTTAATCTTCTTAGCCTTTCGCAATATCTATATTTTTTTTGTTCTTTTATCAAAATTTCACAAACACTTGATCATTATATAAACTGATTCTTTTACAATGTATAAAATAAAGTATTGTACATATAACAAGAACTTTTTTCAGTACAAATAATAAATTTAGAATAAATAATAAATATAAAAAGTAACGCTGTTAAAAGAACGTCGAAAACTTGCAGAAGACCATGTGGTCTTGTCATTAAGAACCCACTCTTAGTTGCGATATTTTTGTATACTTAATTTATTAAAAAGTTTAAGTTTAGCAAAATCTCTTAGCATTAGAGTCACATATAAAGTATAGAGTCACATTGTAGTGTCATTAAAGTCATATATAAAAAGCTATTAGATAATCAAAAAGAGAAAAGAGCTGTATTTGATATACATAAATATATAAACGGCTTATTATACTTAATGTATTGACAGACATGTACGAAATATAAGTAAAATCTAATATACACTTTGCTTTGAAGTTAATTTTAAGGTTTTTTTAATATACGTTCGTAAATTTGTTTTTGTCTAGAACAAGTTTTTTTAATAGTATTTTCAAAAATTTTAGGTAATGTAATTTTGTAATAGTAGTAATTTTTAGAACTAAGTTTGTTGTAAAGGTAAGGGCCGTGATACTAAATAGAGAAACGTGATAGTTTTGTTTTTTATTCGCTACATTAAAATTTCCTCGAGTATCATATCTATTTCTATTGCATTTAAAAAACTCTTTTTAAAAATGTGATGGACGAATTCCAAATTCATATTTAAGCATAAACAACAAATTTTGATAGATGTTAACTTTATAGAAATTTAGTGCATTAAGATGTTTAAGCAAAGGTTCAGCATGAGTAAATTTATCTTTATTAAATACTATTCTTGCAGCATGTTTTTGATGTCAGTAGAGTGTCACTAGGTTGAATTTATGGGTACTTGCCCATGCTATATTACCATATGTATAATAGGTTTGAATAAAAGGGAAATAAAGTTGCTTTAAATTTGTTTGGGGTAATATCGGTCTAGCTTTGTAAAGCATACAAATGTTTTTTCCTTATTTTAGTACTTAAAAGGTTTATGTGGGGTTTCCATGAAATATTCTCATCAATAAATATCCCTAAAAATTTTGTTGTTTTGGTATTTAATATTATCTTTTGATAATATTATTTTCTATTTTTAGAAATGTTAATATATTTGGTAAAGATTTTTTTCTTTGATTGGAATGGAATAGAATGAATTTGGCTTTTTCTGTATTCAATAATAATTTGTTAGATTTAAACCAAATACTAAGTTTTTCAAGTTCAATACTTGCAGTTTCAAAAAGTTTTGTGATAGAAGTAGATGAATAAAATAAATTAGTATTATCTGCAAACTTTATGGCATCGAGTTTGTTTGAGACTTTTGGAAGATCAATGATGTATAGCAAGAAGGTTAAGGGAGCTTGAATGGAACCTTGGGAATTCTGCATTTAATTTTAAGCAATTTTGAATGGACATTTTCATCTGCAACAACAGATTGCTGTCTGTTTATAAAAAAGCTCCCAAACTATTGCACAGTGGTTTAAATGTTTTACTCATGTCCACCAGAATAAATTAAATGTTTTACTCATGTCCACCAGGACATGAGTAAAACATTTAATTTTTTGAAATTAAAATTTAACTTAATTTTTGTATACTTACATAGCATACAGATTTAAGCTATAAAAAAAAGAAGTTAAAATTTTGGTCTGTTTAAAAAGTTACGGCCATTCAAACTTGAACAATTTGGAAAAAAAACACAGTTTAAAACCCAACAGAGTTTTTGAGTATACTCAGAAAAAAGGGATTAAAAAAAATTTTCAGGCTAATAATAATAGTATTTCAGAAAGAAAATTGGATAATTTTCATAAAATTTATATAAAAACTGTGAATTTTTGCACGTGATTTTGTTATAGTTTTTGAACATTTTGGGGAATATCTCGAAAACCGCTAATGGCGCCATACTAAACCTTATATGATTTCCGAAATACAAAATAAAAGCTTTCATTTGCTGCTATGCTTAAACTGGCTCCATTAGCAGTTTAAAAAAAAAAATGAGTTTTAAAATTGCCATCTTAAGGTTAAAGTCTAAGAACTTGGTTTTGAAAAATTAACAAGTACACATATGTTACAAAAGTAATTTATTTACAAACAAAAAGATTGTTTAAAACATCATCAGCTGATGCACTTCTGCGCATACATGAGCGTTTAGAATGTGCTTATCCAAGCAGTTTTTGCAAAATAACAGCCCTTTGCTCCGTTCGTCTGCTAATGGGTCAGACCCCAGCCAAAATCTTTTAAAGCAATCTTCTATATTGACCAATTCAATAATATTTCTTGATAGTTTTTCCATGAAGTATCTAAGATTATTATTTTCCATTCCTTCTTTACTCCAAGATTTCAAACCGGTGGAATCATTTATTTCTATCAACTCCCAGCTATGAGCAAGAATTTTGTGCAGCGTTGGAGTTATACTTACGCAATAAAATTCTTGTAGAAGTAAGATTTTTAGCTGATATTAAGATGTTTGTATAGCTTTATATTAATTTTTTTGACAGATGTCATTGCTCTCAGTAGAGTGAAAAGAAGCAAGCCATACTTTTCAACTAGTTTGCCGTCAGTTTGACTTGTTACGTGATCTGTAATAACCTTTCACATTACATTATTATGTTAAAGTTTTCTGGCAACATTTCCAGTAGTTGAATTGCCCTCTTGTCCGGTTGATTCTGCAAAATCCCATTTTATTCCGGTTTTAACTCGGATAATTTCTAGTAGTCTTGCTTTTTCTTCTTTCTGCAATGTTGTGCTATTGTTTATCTTAAATTCTTTCCAAGTTAAGACACCTGCCGCCATGTAAACAACTACCTTCATAAAATGATCAAAGCTCCAGAGCGAGCCATGTAAAACCTAAATGGACCTAACATTCGAACATGCAATTGGACATGTAGTTTGACCGTGTCGAACTTTGTAATTCTTTTTTTTATGAAAATAGCCCCGTCCTCTTTTACTACGTCAAGAAATATTTGTTGCATGGATTTAACATCCCTGTTTATGATGAAACCACCTTGAACTGTTTGTATATTTTCCCATTGTTCTTTTGAAAGGTCACAAAGATCACAATACGAACATCCAAGGCCTTAATAAATATCTAAAGTAAAATACGTCTCTTAAATAGATGTCTAAAGCGCGTTTAAAAAAGATAGATAATAGATAATTTTTTAGCTAATAATAGCTCTTTTATGCATCTTATATACATCTAATATACATCTTTAAATGTATATTTCACATTTTTTATGCATCTAAGGCATTTATTTGTGTTGAATAAAATGCATCTAAAAGACATCTATAAGATAGACATCTATTTATGTCCCGTTCAAGACGTGAATTTAGACGTCATTTAGACCAGTTTTTAGATGCATATTAGATGCATTTTAGATATCTTTTTGTTTGCTGGGACTTGTTTGATACAAAGGTGTTACAGCGGTTAAATTAGTCATAAAAAAGGATTAAATTAAATAAGTAAAAAAACATTTTAACTAAGATTACTTAATTTTTATTTCACAAAAATATACATAAGGAACTATACTACTTCATTGCCGTCAACATTTTCTTCCACGTCTCCGATATCTAAAATATATACATTAATTACATTTAAACGAATTTAAAAGACATGTAGAATTCTGAATCTATTTATATGAAATATATATATATATATATATATATATATATATATATGTGTATATATATATATATATATATATATATATATATATATATATATATATATATATATATGTATATATATATATATATATATATATATATATATATATATATATATATATATATATATATATATACATATATATATATATATATATATATATATATATATATATATATATATATATATATATATATATATATATATATATATATATAATATATATATATATATAGTATCGGACAAAACCAGTGCAACCAAATGATGCTAATTTAGTTTCTTTGTATAAAAGTGCTGCATTTTTTCAATTTAGAGAAATAACTATGTAACTGTTTAGAGACAACGTTCTTCAAATTTTATTCATCACAAAGTTCATTATTTGTACACGAAAATTAATAAATTAATCAAAAGTATTAAAAAAAATTGATTTCCTTCTGGACAAAACATATGCAACTCTACAAAATGTTGACCAAGCTGTATTTTGCTATCAATATTTTGTGGTGAACCCTTTGTTGTCGATCACAGCCTTGCATCTTTAAGGCATAGATTCGATCAGGTGATCAATGAAACTTTATGGAATTGCTGCCTAGGCCTTTTGGATTTGTTCAAACAGCTCATCCTTATTACGAACACATTCATGATTAACTCTGCGATTAACAATCTCCCACAAGTTCTCGATAGGGTTGAGATCCGGAGATTAAGGCAGCCAATCCATCACCAATAGATGGTTGCCTTGAAATCACTGCTTGACTACTTTTGCAGTGTGTTTGGGATCGTTGTCTTGCTGAAAAACCCATTTTATTGGTATATTCCATTATACCAATAAAATGGGTTTGAGGTAACATAAAATCTTTTAGGATATTTTTATACATGAAACGGTCCATTATTCCATCGATTTGATGTATTAGACCTAGACTGTTAGCAGAAAAACACCCCCAGACTATTACATTGCCTCCACCATGCTTCACGGTCTTAAGGCAGTAACGTAAATCAAGGCGTTTTCCGGCCGCTTGACGTACAGGCAGCTCTAATTGCTTTTGTATCTCAACTGATGATATCCAGGGATCCTTCTTGACAAATCTGACGATCATGGAATTCTCTCTAGAAGTGGTGGAACGAGGTCTTCCACCATCGTTATCTGCTGCCAACTTCCCTGTGGAACAATATTTGGAACAAAATAGATCTTATCAAAGTCTTGATAAGATCTATTTTTTCACGCGATATTTACCAAATACTTTTTTGTGACATTCCACTTAGGTAATTGCAAATAATTTTCTCTCTTAGTTCCAATCCAAGACTGTCGGGAACCATTTTTGCAATTGAAGTCATAAAAATAATAAAAATAAATAACCACTTTTCTCAAGGCTTACCGTGTTACATTTACCTTGTGATGATAAAATATATATGTGGAACATAATGTCTTGGTTGGATGTGGACTGTATTGATGTAATGAAACACTTGTTGTATTTCACTTCTGGTATTAATGTTCTTCGATAAAACACTTTGATAAAACTCACTTCGATAAACTGTCTTGATAATACTGACTGATTGACTTCCATATACTGACTGAATTACATGTCTCTTATATAGTAAAATGAACCTGTGTGAACCTGTTCTGGAAGATTCTAGATGCTTCTTTTCAATACTTCTGGAAGCTTCTGGATGCGTCTGAATGCTTTTGAATGTTTCTGGATACTTCTGGATGCTTCCAGATGCTTCCTGATGCTTCTTCTGGAAACTTCTGGAAGCTTCTGGATGCTTCTGGAAACTCTGGATACTTCCTTTAATTATTAAAAAACTTCCATGATGTTGACACGGACCAGACTTGAGAAAATGAAACAAACCAAAAAAGTTGCACTTGTTTTGTATGCTGCAAAATGGCACTTGTCAACAATTCTGCCTGTGTGCTGTCACCTGTCAGCTGATTGCTCATATCATGGCATGCTATGACTCCAGACTCCTGAACTGTTTGCTGTGGTAGTATAGTTTGTTTCATTTTTAAGACATAAAATTAGGAACACTTTTTAGCATTGTTCGATGTTGGTTGCAAATGTTTTGTCCAATACTGTATATACACATATATACATGTATATATATATATATATATATATATATATATATATATATATATATATATATATATATATATATATATATATATATATATATATATATATATATATATATATAAACAAGAAGATTCGTATCTCAACCAGATACAATAATAAACAAAAAATTTTTTATGAAAAAAAACTAAAGGAACTTGTATTATGGATACAAAAATTCTAGCATGACACAAAAAAGTCGAAGAAAATTTTTTTAATACAGATATCAGTTTTGTAAATACTATTAAAACTATACCTCGTAAAACACTTTATATATTTACTAGATTTTCTAAGCTTATCTTTTCTCCATTTCCTTTTCGATTATATTTGGACTGTAACTGATTCGAAAATAACCTGATAAATATTTTAACAATAAACTGAAATATATTTATAAAGATTTCTATTTTAATATATGTAATAAAATAAAATATATTTTAATATATAAATGCTTAAAATTATGAAAAGTAAAAGCATTAAATTTGAAAATAAAATGCTAAACAAGGTTTAGCATTACACTTACTTTAGCACACAAACAAACTTAAACGCCTACAGTGAAGCTCCCGAGTTTATCAAATTGTCATGTTAAAAGTAAATCCATAACAAATAAGGGTTAAAATGAATTGCTTTTGGTCCCTTTTAATCATATTTCTAATAATTAATAAAAACATAATCATTTACCTTTTCATGATCAAAAAAACATGTTCTCTTGACTTTCCACCACCAATCTTTTTCAAACTATCAAGCTGAAATAAATGTAATAAAAACTAGTGTAACTTAAATTTCTTTACAACATATTGAGTCTACACAACCTAGTTATTTTAGTTCATTTACAAATACTTTTCATTTAGATTCTAAACTAGTAAACCAAATTTAAACAAGCTTATTAAAAATTAAGATAATTAGATTATACCAAATTAGTATACTCGGTTTTATCTTTTAGTTTATTATCCAGTGTAACCACTTCATCCACTGATTCTAGCAACTTCACCCCAGTAGCCTGAAACTTAATTTCTATAACTTCTTTTGAAAGAACTTTTATTTCTGCAAGCTCATTGAGAATAACATTTTGCATCTCTACAAACAAGAATAAAAAGATTGATTAACATATTTAGCTCATAAAACCAAATAGCAAAACAATGAAATAAGAACTTTAAAATTCAAATTATGCTCGAGTAACTCAAACTAAAATTCCAAAAATACATTTAAGTTTTTTAATTACTCCATTGCAGAAGTTGCCATAATATTTTGGAAAACCTACTTTTTAAATTAGTTAAAACTTTATCCTGTAAAAAGTTACGATATTAAAGAATTTTGTTTAACTACTAAAGGTAAAATGCTACACACATGATTTATCGGATTACAATATTATAAATAATCCATTTCTATTCTTTTATACCTATCTTTTACAATTATTTTAATACAAAAACAAATTAATAAAAAAGACCTCCACATTAACATTCAGTGGTGTAAAAACCAAAAATACTCATATTAAAACTTGAAGCCCTTTGACAATGTGAACTTTGGTTGGTTTTATTCTGTTCATCAATAAAATGTGAAGAAAAATTATCTTCTTCAATCTTTGAATCTGATAACAACTCTATTCAAAAGAAATAATTATAATTAGAATTATAAATAATCCCTCAACCATACCTGTTACTTAATTTAATCTTTCAACCAATTTTGTACTCTTTCAATTTCTGAATTTAAACAATTTCAGCATGCTTTCAATCAATTTTCAATTTTCATATCAAGTTGATTAAAGGATTATTTAATACAATAGAATGTTGTCAATCATATAAATATATGTAACCAATTTAACAACATTACAAATAACAGGACACCCAAATAGTTAAAATAAAAGGAAAATCTTAGTAATACATAAAAAAGACTAATAGCTAGATAGATATTATTCAGATCAAATTAAACAAGAATTTATTTCAGTTTATAAACCATTAAGAAAAAAATATGATATTTGTGTTATACTTTTATCATTGGGCTTATTCATAATAGGTGGCGGAGGTTCTGGCAATGAAGAGCGGTATGATTTGCTATTCTTATTTTTAATGCTTTCTTTAACATATATCTCATCTGATGTAGAAAGTTGTATTCTTCACAACATGAAATAAATCTAATTATAAAACATTTTGCTACAACAAAGTAATTAAGTTACCTTTAAAAAAAAACACAAAACAAGTTAGATACTGACTATCTGTTATCTTACACTTTATCAATGGAAATTTGTGCCATTCTTTTGTTGACGAAAGGTTGTTTTTCAGTGCATGATTATAGTTTTTTTTTGGGACAATAAATTTGTTGCTATTCTTTGTCAATCCACTTGTTTAGTGCACAATTACTTGGTTAGAAAAACATGCAGAAAAATTTCCTTCAAAGTTGGGTAATGCTTATACTCATTAGGCTTTTGGTTATAAGAGTATATATTGTACAAAATCAATGACTCATGATGGTCAAAATATTCTAAATAATCATTGATGTCTTCCATAGGTTAAAATCTTCATGCTTTTTATCGAAATAAGTTTCCGCAGGGTTTTTAAATGGCGGTCATTTATAATTATCGCTCCGTAAAATTAGTTAAAATTTTATTCTTGTTTTTATAACAAATCTATAAAAGACATCTTATAGACATCTTATAGACATTTAGATGAAAAAAAAATTATCTATGCACGATCTATTTTATGCATCTAATATGCATCTAAAACAGAGCAAAAAAAGTATCTCTAGAATCAGACGTCTTTTCGATCTCTAATATACGTCTAAAATATACGTATCGGCAATAAATACAAATTAGACCAATTTTAGATCGAATTTCGGAACAAATGAATTTCATTCCAGATTTAACATTTTTCTCTGATGAGTATAAGTCATTTGACCCAAGTTTGACTTATAACAAATAGCAGCCGCTGTCACTGTCGGTATTTTCGACAGATGTTTCCTTGATAGGGCTGACTAATGTTTATCATCCTATACGGACTGGTTTCTTCATCATTCATATCAGCAGGTTCAAAGACTGAGCTACTTTCTTTAGTTTTTGGATTTATTCTTATAATGACTTCTTTTGATCCATATTTTAAAAAAGCGTCTTTTTCTAGTTTTAATTTTTTTAAATTTTCTTTCTTTCGAGTGTTGAAATTTTTGCAAAATATTTTTCAGTATTCCAACTTAATTTTCTTCTAACCTAGCTTGCGTTTCATTTTCTATAGTGGTAGTCAAATCAGATACACGAGTGACATTGTTGTCAAGTATTAAAGTAATTAATTGATGCTCTGTTAAGCAAAATTCTTCAAGTGTTGCTATATTTAGTTGTTTTTATCATAATTATTTTTCTTTTTTAAATATTTTACTGTGCTTTTAATTGTTTATAATTAATTTTACTTTCTTATTTCAAAATAATGTTATCATAAAAGTATTTATTCTATTTATATAAGTTTAAATGATCATACAAATAAAAATATGAATTTTGATGTAAGAAATAAATTGTTTTATAATAACTGTGTGATATCTGATTGTTTCCTAATTGTGAGATCGGAATTTCTTCGATGCGTTCAATTACCACAATTAGTTTGCTGATGACGTACTTATCTGCTTAACTACTTAAACGTGCTTTTAATTTAAAAGTTTTGAGTCTTCAAATTTTCGTATTTAAAACCACAACAAGATCATCAAATTTTTAAAATTTGACATTTAATAAAAAACTAGAAGTAAGCAACCTACAATACGGGTTGTTAGTAAATAAAATTAAAAAAAATAAGCCGCGTATAAAAAAGTCTACAAACTACTTTAAAATAGAAAAGCCAAGAAAATGACGTAAGTTTTATTAATTAATAAATAACGACTATTACAACTATTAAATTGGCGTATTAAAAATATCCAAAATGCTTCATTTATTTAAATTTTTTATGGGGCCCTAGATTTATCACTTTAGATGTATGGCAATTAAAAACACATGTAACATCGTATATTAAATTACATTTGGAATTTTATTCTTTGTCTGCTCTAAACTATGTACAAAGGGGTGATCATGAAGAACATAACTGACTTGTTGAAAATTGTCTGCGAAGTTTCTTTGGTTTCCTGTTAATCTTAATGTCGTGTTTTTCATCTTATCGTAATATTTTTTATTGCGTATTTGTTTGAAATCCCTTGGAACACCGTTTTCTTTGTGGTTTAGCAGTATATCCTGGTAGATCTCTCGAGTTTGTCTGCTTTTTATTTGCGAGGCAATAGAATCCATGGCTGATCTGGATGTTCGTACATCAGTTGATTGTGCATTGTTACTGTTTCCAGGATGTTTTCCAACGTATTCAACAAGGCAGACATATTCTTAATTTGGTAATATCTGTTCTTCTATCCAACTAATGCGTCGTTTAAAAGTATTGCTTGCTCTCAAACATGTATAGTGTCGATGAAGCTGTATGAATTCAGATGGCGATGATTGTGGCTCTAAATCAGTGTAAGTAAACTTTTTGTTACGTTTAACAGCATAACAATATTTTCCACTCCTTTTTATGACATTTTTAAAGTGACCTGAAAATAGACGAATGTAAAAAGAAACTGGCGAAGCTCCACTTGCTCCTGTCTACGCCCCACAGTCATCGACAAAGCAGCTTTGTAAACCATTTGCATGTCTGTGAATATTTTCTTTATTCTTAACAAGAAAATAGACATTTTCTTTTAGACCTTTTGGAATTTTTTCTAAGATATGATTTAAAGGATTGACCAATATTTTGATAACCTTAGCAGCTTCAAGAAATCTAAGTTTCTAGAGGCTGTTGCTGGCATTTTGCAGTGGCACTATTTTTTGGTCACTGGCATCTTCTGCTTGTTTTTGTAAATAATGCTCTGTTTCAATGTCTGATATATCTGTATTATTGAAGGTTAATGTGAGATTATTTTTATTGGCAAGTGGTGTACTGCTTCTAAAGAAAAAAAATGTTGTGGATTAATTGTTATACACTTATAACTTGTTTGTTTTTTAATAAAATATATTGATTTTGTATTTTAGTTGATTCATATATGCAGTTTATATTATGGAGCATTCAATAACCCAGCAAACATATAAGCGTTGAATCAACGTTGAAAACCAGTTGCAGCGTAGAAAAAGCGTTACAATAACAAAAACAACGTGCTTTCAATGTCTGTTTTTGTATACTAAATCGCGGTAAATTGAAACGTTGAATAAGCGTTAAAATTGTAACGTAATTTAGTCTCTCAAAATAAAACGTTTATTCAACGTGGAATCAACTTACGCAAAAAGCCACTTGAAAAACGTTTCGAAGTATATGCTTTATCAACGTTAAAAACAAACCGCTTTTTAAACGTTACATTTTCAACGTTGAATAAGCGTTTAAATTTAAACGTATCTTATCTTCTCAAAAAAATGCGTTTATTAAACGTTGAAAATAAGTATGCAAATAATCACTGTATAAACGTCGCAAAGGTAATGGTTTATCAACGTTAGACATTAGCTGCTTTTTTCAACGAATTTCAACATATTCAACGAATAAACTATTTGAAAAACAACACTTATTCAACGTTATTTCAACGTTGGTTGAAAATGTGCTAATTAAAAAACGTTGAAAAAGTGTTACTTTGCCAACGTTAATAAAACGTTGTTTTGACAATGTTGAGGAAGTGGCACATTGAAAATTATTGTCTCAATAACTAGCCATTACAAAAATAATTCCGCAATGGAAAGGCAAGGAAAACTTGATAGAATGCATGCATATGGTATAAAATTTTTTAAATAAAGTTATACTTTATAGCCTATTTTATTGGGACTAATTTAAAACTTTTAGATTTTATATCAAAATGTATATAAAGTACATAAATCTCAGGGTAAATTCGATTTATTCAGCTTATTTTTGTAAATGTTATATTTTGTTTTAAGTTGACAATTTTAATAAAATGCTCAACTTTTTTAAATATTTCTTAGTTAGAAATAGTACTTAGTTTTATATAGATTCAAATTTATAAAATATTACCAAAGTTAATAAAACATAATAAGTCAGACTAAATTAAGTTTGTTAACAGAATAAATTTTTTAGTTTATTTACAAATAATCACTTATTCTTGCGGCGAACGTGACGTCACTTTAACTAACTAAACGGCTACCATTATGGTATGGGGGCAAACAAAGCGCTTGAAAATGGAGAAATGTGTTTTTGATTGTTCAATTAATGTTAATAGTCATCCGAACTTGATTTTTTATATTTTGCTTCCTGATCCAAAGAGAAGAAAATCGGGGCTTTATGCTTTATATAGAACTGATTCATCTTGCAAAAACAAACTTTGGTCGCAAAACATGTCTAAGTATGCTCAAAACATTTTGTATCTGGCAAGTTTTGTATTTGAATCGTCAAAATATTTGAGCACAAATTTTTTATGAACTTATTAAGTTTTTTTCGTCTATATATTTTTATTCATTGTAAGTATGTTTCTCTTTTAGGAAAAAAAAGAACATAGTCTAGATGCTTTTCAAAATTTTGAAAAGCATGTTGACTATGTTCATTCAGTAAATATGTTAGGTGCTAAAAAAATGTATAGTGAAATCATCCCTCCAACATAACCAATTGTTATGTGAAAAGAAAGGAGAATAAATAGATTAAACAATTCAATTAGTATATACTATATAGTATTGGTATGTAATGTATAAACAACAAGATAAACTATATATAGTTTTTCTTGTTGTTTAAAATGTTTTTGTAAAAACTGTTTATGTAATAGTTACAAATTATTTTTGTTATGCATTGATGCATAACAAAAATAAATTGTATATAAAAATATTAATGCATTAAAACAAGCATTTATAAATCATGTGTTTATTGTTTTTATTTTTAAATAAATGAATGTTTAATAGCTTGTTAAGCACAAATTTTGTATTTACTATATACCTCAAACATGCTTATATTTTTTTAGAATATTATGTACAAAAAAGTCATTGCAATAAATCTCAAGTTATTCAAGTCAGTGAACAAATAAGTACTGACAATTCGTTGACTGGAGTGGAAGATGTTAGTGTCTTGAACCAACATGAAACAACAAGTTAACTTAGCTGAGAATGATGGTAGTTTAAAAATAATGCAGCATTGGCTAGGTAAGTGATTATGTGTATGTTGGCTCACTCATAAGTCAATATATATGTGTTTATGTTCTGTGTCGACCTCTGGTGTTGTGTTGACTCACCCTTTAGACATTATATGTGTGTTTGTGTTCTGTTTCAACCTCTAGTGCGGTGTTGATTCACTTGTAAGTCATTATGTGTATAATTTTATTTTGTTTTATTGTGTTATTATAGTGATGTTATTGTTGTGATGCTTTGTGTTGATAGACAACTTTGCTTACCTTCTCGTTGGTGCCTCTTGCTACAAATGATTATTAGATTTTTTTACTTAAACTCGTTACTTCTAATCATTTACTAATAGGCAAGAAACATGTTTTAAAGTAAAACATACTTTTAATGTTGTCATTTTTAATCTTTAGGATTGTTCCTAGATCACAAAAACAATCTTACAAAGTAAGTTTCTTCTTTACTATTTGTTTAGTTATATTTTTAATTAAATTTTAATTTTTCATGTTAACATGATACATAAATCATTAATTTGTAAATGTTTTCAGCATAAATTGGTTCTATTTTCTTTAGTAGAGTTTCTGCTGTTGTCACTTGTTTTAGAGAGTACCTTCGTGAATGAAGATAAAAAGTCATTTATGTTATTTTTTAAAAGCCAA